TCCAAACCAGCGTGCGCGGCCGACTGAATCACGACTGACGGCATCATTGTCTGGATCGGGACGTATGGAACTGTCTGAAGCGGAACGTGCGGCACTGTCTGGATCGGGACGTGCGGCACTGGCTGGGTCGGGACTCCTTGACCAGAACGAGGCGTGGCAGATCGCAAGGCCTCCGCGTACGTACGACGGCGACTGTCAGTAGACACAGGAGCCGTTTCCGGGTCAACCGACATCAGCGGAAAACGATGGGCGTGCAACACCTGTTGGACCTCGTCACGGATGACACTGGTGATAGAACCAACATCGATTGGTCTTGTCCCGTACATCTTTTCCATTTCTTCCCGGACGACAGATCGGATGATCTCGCGAATCCATTCGGGGCGGTTGCTCCAATGGGGTGGCGAAAATTTCGGGGGTTGAGGCAGCATTCACTTGACGGTCAAACAGGGCAGACCGTTGGTGCAGTACTTGCTCCATTGTTGCCGCTTCAGTAAGGAACTCAGCAACACTCTTAGGGGGACTACGCACCAAACCAGCAAAAAGTTGTTCCTTCACACCACGCATGAGGTGGCGCAACTTTTTTTCCTCTGCCATAGCAGGATCCGCTCGCTTGAAAAGCCGTGTCATGTCCTCAACGTACATCGAGACGGTCTCGTTTGGCATCTGGATGCGTGATTGTAGTGCACGCTCCGCTCGTTCGCGGCGGTCGGGACTCCTGTAGGTCTCCAGAAGGCGACGCTGGAACTCGCGCCAAGATGTCAGAACATCATCCCTGTTCAAAAACCACGTCTTGGCACCGTCCTTCAGGCAGGTGTACACGTTCCGGAGCTTCGCGGCATCATCCCAGTAATTTATCGCTGCAACACGTTCGAACTCACTCAGCCAGTCGTCAACATCTTCATGCTGCTCTCCATGAAAAGGGCTAGGCATGAGCGGGTTCTGGACGGTGCAGTAGATCGGCGTGGAAGGTGTCGGAGCTTGCACGGGATCTTGTGTCGAAGTCATAGTCGCTGCGTCAGTAGTTGGTGTCTCAGGTGGTAGGCCTCGTTGGCGGCGGCTTACTCTGTGAACAGGAGTGTCCACGGGTGCAGGGCTTGTGTTCCGGCTGCTGGACGGGGTCTTGTGCATCGGGTAGATCGTGAGACGTTGTACCCAGCAACTCCACCAGTCTTGTCACGTTTCTTAAGATAAACTTGGTTTATTGGGTTCGTTGAGTCGACTAGCCAAGCAGCAGCTCAGACAGATCGTCTTTGTCTTCTTCCACTCCCGGATCTCACCCAAGCATATCAGGTGGCAATATGTAGGGTGGAATGTCCCAAGTGCACCATATGATTATGAGAGATGCTGTAGTGAAACACTTCGAAAAAGTTTGACCACCTGTGGTTCTGAAAACACAAGCCTACAGCATTTTCGACTCCATCAAAACTGTGGCAGCTGCAGTTACCCTAGCCACTACCTTAGCCACTAGCTCACCGCGGTGTAGCGTGGTTTGTAGTGCGACACAAATTTTGCCAGACTGTTTAAATAAGTCTTTGCTGCTTAGAACCTGGATTAGTCCCGGCACGCCGCCGCTTTTGTGCACCAAAGATGGCGGTACGTGCACTGTCCCCAAATTCTGGACATGAAGATTTAAAAAAAAATTGAAGTGAGAAAAAAATGAAAGAGAAAACTAAAGAAAAAAATGGCCCCGGATCTGCATGTTACACTGCAAATGTCGTCGTAAGACGATTGTCTTGCGTCCGGAGAGAGTGAGCAAAACATTTATTTGATGTTTTGTGCAAGAAAATTGGTGAATAGTATTCTGGAGGCGCTGCGTTAGAGTTCTTCGAGCGTGTAGTGGAGGCGAACGAGCGCATCGAGGCACGTTAGACATGAGCGCCATCTGGCAGCCATCTTCGAAAGCGGAGGAAGGCGTGTGCGCCTGCGAAAGATGCGTGCCATTCTCGGAGGCAATAAGGTGAAGGACGCAAAGCGACGGACAGGTGCCACCACCGTGTCGTTTTAGCAAAGCGTTCGTAACACTTGCCTTTTCGAGCAGCACGATGCACTGTCAGCGCAGCGTGTTTAACGCTACGGCTCTTAGAATTACTTCTGTTTGCCTTCTCTAGTATAAATGCACTCATACGAAACATCAACGTGTTGTTATGGTACCTCAGAAATGCGCAATGATTGCTTTTTATATGACAATCACTCAAGTATGAATGCTGAACCTTCAGCAATATTGGTGGGCGCAGCGGAGGAGGTCAGCCGTTTGAGAAATCGTTAGGAGCGGACAAACAGACAAATGTACCGACAGACAGACAGACAGAATAAAATTTCATTCGTCGAAGGTCTCCAAGAAATACTATCATCTTTAAAACAAAGAAGGCTGCCCAGTTCCGCGCTTTTTTCAGGCTTGCCGCTACGACGAAACTGCCCGAATTTCATTACAGTTTTTCGACAGAGTTACTTCACTTTTAGAGGATATTTTGTCAGTGTTGACTTACTCATTACAGAGACCTGTTCTGTTAACACGATGCGCTTCGTGTGTCCTCTACGAAGCTTTAGCTGTCAGTGACAGAAAGAGTAAAAGTTGACGTTATGCTAACTGACCCAATCAACCCTGCGATTTGTTAGTTTTCTAGCCGGAACAATGATATATGGGCTCCCTTGCTGTCTCGTGGGTGGCAAGAGACTGTCGCATCTTTGCTGATACTATGTCGCGAAGCTGGTGGAGGGCCCGCAGTGTGTGGAGCTCTTGTATACATAAGCTACACTAATAGAGAAAGCTGCAAATTTCATTAGGCTACTCCCGCCTTGACGCAACCTTACTGTGCCGCCTAGTTAGGGATGGTTTTCGCGAAGTTGTGCTCTTTTCGCATAAGGTAGGCACATATTTCCGGATGTGATTCGCGAAACCGCGAGAAAATGATCGACTATCTATTGTGTTTATGTGATCCTTCGTTTGTGAACGAAACTTACTACTCAATGGGTTTAAACAAATAGATGGCTGGCCATCTTCAGCTTTGAAGCCCCTCGGATCGTGGCACTGCGCGTTGTCAGCCAACAAAGCGGCGCGGGCGTGGCTACTGTTTTCGTAAACAACCAGTCATCACGTGTAGGTGTGTAATGGACAAGCGTGCATGTACCCTCATGATGATTTCACCGTATGACCTCCCAGACTTTTCTTCCTGTTCTCGCTTCTTCCTTCATTTTCAAACGTAGCCAGCAGACTTTTTAGTTCGGCAGTATGTGAACACGTTTATATGAAGCGAAGATGATCCGTAGAATAATTGCAACGAGTGTGGTCGTGAGTGCACAGTGGGATAGATTAAAAGGTGAGGTCAGGTTAGGTTAGGTTAGGTTAGGTTAGGTCTATATATAAGAGTGACTATGACTGTGGGGTACGCGTAATGCTTCAGTCTAGTAACCTTAATTAGGGTTGATGAGCGCCAGCCCCTTCTCCGCCTGTGCACCGGTAGCGCCTGGCCTGCGTCAAGAGTTGCCAGTTCACCTACATTAAGCGGATTTGGGCTTCCTGTTTTGCCGAGTCGCTTGTATGATTTTCTATTCGCTAGTCACGTTCCATTGGCTTATTTGCATTTTTTCAGAAAATAAATAATTTTGGAGATCGTCATGTTCCTCAATGTGCGTTTGTTGTTCACCTATGGCTTGCTTGTTGATGAGGTGAGGCGCGTGCAGGGTTCTTCATCAGGGTGGACGAAGGTTGATAAGAGCACCTCTTTCGTACTAAGTCGATGGATAGAAGAGATTTTGCGGATCCCCTCACTCTCTTATCTCGTGCACAAGCCCATGATTGAGTTCAAAAGTCTAACATACGTTAACAGAATGAACATGTAGAGTTCAATGATGGGCTGGGTAACGTGCCTTCAACCAAATGGAGATGGCCGCGGGGACAATATAAAAAAGCAGCTACGTGTTTTCGTGAATACTTGCACAGGTTTTCGCTGTAGAAAGCGAATTCTGCATTGAAACAACCGATTAGATCTCCGTATTTGATTATCGTTTTTAAAAATTATAATAAAGCACTTTCAATGATAAGAAAATAATCATGTCTCTATGTTTTCTCGTGTTTTGGGGGCTTGTTTTGTAATGAGTATTCAATAGTTGGCTCGGTAGCATCTGCAAATACTACATGCTGCCCGGAAACACTCTCTAGGACGCTGCTGTGCAACAAATTGAGAAACAATAGTGCATATCATCTGAACTTGTCGCACTCAATCGGCGGCGTGAATCGGGATGCAAAGCTGTCACCGATAGCTCGGACTGCCACCATGGAGAAATTTCTCTTCTCCTTACTGTCGTCAATACCTGCACTACGTCCATTCCTAGAGTTGGTTGCTTTCGCTGACCTAGAAATTTCGCTGGAGATCCAGCCTGCAGATTTCAGCGGCGCTGACGATGAGATGTTATGCGTACCACTTGCCATGATGAGCTTTCACTTTTAAACCCCTCCCGTTTTCCCAGAGGCACTGATCTATGCCCCTACAACGACACGTAACAAATTACAGCTTCTTTTCTGTTGTTCTCCAATAAATTGCCAAGATTCACTAAACTAAAATTTGTGAAGGTTAGTTGGATACTGCGGTAGGACTTTGCCAAGATGTCACCTAAAAAGTGGTGCCCAGAATGTCATCCAATAGGTTTTCTCCTGCAATCGCTAAGATTAGAAGGTATTTGGGCACTATTGCTTCCGCGATAGGGTGCTGAATTTACTACATAGGCCGAACGCAGCAATGTAGAATGCCTGCTAGAGTACAGCTCACAAATATCTCTTTAGTAAATAATGGCGCAGTTATGTTAGCTGAATTTCGAAAGAGACTTTAATATCTTCACTAAATTGAAGCGCTGTTGCCACCTCTGTTATAATAGCTCTTTTGAGTTTTAACAGCACTTAGTTTTACATATCAGGCAAAGCAAAACGGCATATACAACCATTAGGTACCAACTCATCAGTTGTGCAATGACTGAATCACCCAAAACAGCTTTGGACCCAACACGCAGTTACAGAAGACATTTTTATTGTCTCATGATTTCACAACCTTGTACTTTTGTTCGTTCGCTAATCTTTCTGAGACTCTGGTTGGCGCTGGTCTGAAGGGTTTCTGTAAAGTGCTTCGTTGTTGGTGACTATCCGTGGAACTTTCCAAACTTGCCTCCGTGGCCAAAACCTCCGTGACCGTATCCTCCATGTCCGAATCCTCCTCCATGACCAAATCCTCCACCACCATGTCCGAAGCCTTTGCCAAACTTAATTGCCACGGCAGTGGCCAGTATAAGGCAAACAATCAGCAAGCACAGCTGAAAAATATAAAATAGTGGTACCAAACTCAATTTCATTCAAGTCAGCTACCTCCAAACGGCAGCTGCGATTGCGTCAATGAAGCTTTGTATTGTAAGTTACCCGCTTCAATAAATATTCTTTCTTGTTTCCGAAGCTTGTCTGTCTGAATTCGCTTTATGTCCAGCAGTCTACAGCTAGTCGATATATAAAGCGTGCTTCATCAAACTCCTTGACGAGATTTTGTTTGAAAATGATCCGAAATCAGGAGCTTAGGTCTCACCTACAAGTTCTAACATACCAAAAATACACAATTTGTGACAATTCTTTAAAACAAATATGTTTACAATCGAGCATCATGATTCCCTTATACAAACAAGAAATTGACAGGATCAATACGTGTGGGCTCGTATTCACTTTGTATGTAGTGTGCCTATTGAGAAGTTTACTATGTCAGCGGATTACTGCACTTATGCTCGTTTTCACTAAGTCAGAAACATGGCTGATAACCAACAAAGTTACAAAAAAACGTGCACTGTAAGACATGACAGACACCGGTGGAAAGTTGGTACTGTACACAGGGATTCAAAAGACAATTTTAAAACGGTCTTCTGTGTATTCATTATTACTAGCATAAATAAACTAAGCCTTGTGTAACACCAGGCGATATAGTCGCGCAATGAACCTTACAGTCACAGAATCGAGAGAACACATAAGCCGGTCATGCACCTAAAAAAACTTTTTTCAATTTTCGTGTCTTATAATAAATGTTAAATATGAATGCGTGCAAGGAATCGCTGTTTTAAATTCTCCTTTGCATTCTTGTTCTGCGCTACAGTTCGACTTTCACTGTTGCAACATTGTTATTCCTAGAACTAAGCCTTCAGGGGCTTGCAGGCTTCATATATCAAAGGCTCTGATGAGGCGCATAGCTATCTCTAGAACACTGGCCCTTAGTAAGATTAAGCAACAGCTCAAAAGAGCAGTGATGGCAATTATTGTTAGTGTATGTCTCGCCGTTGCGTGATGACTCACTTGTACGTCTAACATAAATGAGAGGATGCCGACTGGGCCAAACAAGGTGCTAATATTAACTATGTACCCTCCCCTGCATTCCCCAATGCTCTTTATCTCTGCGCCTTATATCCTGCAAACAAGGCACTCTACAGTGTCAACTTTCCTAAATTTAACTGGTAAGAAAAAAGCCAGAGTACAATAGGCTACTTCTCAAGAATCTAGCATTGCATGCTGGTTGTAAATTAACATTTTATAGGAGGCGTTTGAAACTTCCTGGTAATGTTCATTAGGCACAGACATGAGCGCAAGATTGTTCCCTTGTTCCCGCCACATTGCGCTATTTTAGTTATTAGTTAGGCCCACATTCCACACATTTCGAAACTATCCGATTCTACTGTAGTAGCTCATATGCAGCAGTAAAGCTAACGTGCGTGCTGTGCATTTTTTGTTTTGTGGCTACTTTCACTTTTTGTAATAATCACTTTTTACGCAGTGAGTTCCATTTTTGTATATAGAGCTGGTACTATAACTCAAGATGATGGCTGGTGAAAGTATTTCTAGCGCCAAAGGGCATTTGATAGAAACCAAAATATGCTTCGTAAATTGCCAGTGACAACAAAGAGACACGTAGACTAAGAAACAGAAGCTTTCGATGAACTCACCACAGCTTTCATGATTATCCTTGTTCGTCTGTCCTGCGGAGTAGTTGTTCAGTGGACGATCTGTCGCCATGGTTGTTTTCTACGGAGCGCAATGAGATGGCTTTATATATACACTGGAGTGTAATGACATGCAAGTTCTGCAAAGAGGGAAAGCACAACACGCGGGTTTTCGAGACGTCACAATAAGGTCACAGCTTCGTCACCAGTGGTCAATTTCCTCTAACGATAGTGGCAAGCCTGGGCTGATGGGAGCTGGCCGCCTCTTCATCGTGAAAAGGTTGCGAAAGGGAAAGTTCCAGGAAGAAATACGGCCACTGCCAATAGTTGTGGGCGTTGCCTTTTATTTGTGTGTACTGTGACTGGTTAAGTAGGCTTTTTCTACAGCTACTTGCTAAGTGGTTGAAACCACGCTCGTTAAACATGCACAGTGCTTGCCGTAAGGAAAAACAGAGATATTTGCGCAGAAGCAGACATGGGCATCAGTTGTTTCCATTCTACCAGAGGGTCCTTACCCTGGCTTCACATCAGCCGTGTAACCTCCTAGTTTGGTGGTATTTGAAAGTGTCGTGTATTAATGTCGCGATTAAATAAAGGAAAGGGCCGTATGCAACACGCGTGCCACCCTACGTGCACCAATCTGTTAATTTTTTAATGCTTCAACAAGTTTTCTTAATAGCAAGTAATTGGTGCAAGGAAGCTGTGTTGATGACAAAAGGGGATAGATGGCCGGGTACCGCATAGTTCTCGTAGCCATAATTTATATCGGCAATTTTCTTGTTTCTCGAACCCTGCTAACAATCACTGATGCGTACTGAACTGATTACACTCCAGAAATAGTTATCAGCACATTAACACCAAATCTATCATGGTAAGATTACTCGTTCAAAGCATTTCTTGAACACTTCTAAGGCTTGCTTTGTAATGGGCAAGACCGGTTCATTTATGTAATTAAAATTTAATGAAATGTGGACAAAGTTAGCGGTAGGCATGCCGATATTGACCTGAGTTTATTATTGTTTTCAGTGTACTTGGAAGTATTGTACGATATTTTCCCTCTGCTTCTTAGCTTTTATGGGAGTAAAAAAACAGCTTTCATAGGAGGAGCAGGTAACCTCGTAGGAACAACCACTTACAAAATCTTAGGCTTTGTTTATGTGTTTTATTAAAGTGGTGTTGATTACACGTGGTTTTGAGATGCATTTATGTTATGCGAAAATGCTTAGTTTCATCAGACTTGTTTAATAGTAGGTTCTTCATTGTGTTGACTTCATTGAGCTGACTATTTATGCTTCTCTTTCTTACTCCTCTTCTTTTCTGTCTCTTTTAGTTCTATTGTTCCCCTTTTCCCCCACCCCAAGTGTAGGGTAGCCAACCGAGCCAAGCTTGGTTAACCTCCCTGCCTTTCCTCTCTATTCATCTCTTTCTCTCTCTCTCTTCATTGTGTTCCATAATTTTAAAAATGTGCTGCAAATATTGTATTTCGGCATTTCCTTAATCTTCAAAGCAGGAAATTGTAAGATTTAGTGCAGGTTCTGTTAGAAATCGAACAGGGAGTGTATTAAAATTTCCAAAAGAAGTAATTACTCTTTATTTATGCTCCTAGTTTTTGCAATCTAAGGTTCATGCTTGACTATGCGATGGCGTTTAAATCAACGATCGAGAAATATTTTGGTAAAAAATGGGAATAATTTATTCGTTGAATGATTCGCTGGTTGATTGATGTCTTTCTGTCTACTCTAGAGTACTGAAAAACTTTCAAGAACGGGGTTAGCTTAATCGTTTCAAATGTGGTAATAATGAACCCTGCGTGCTGCAGCCACTTCTATCAGTAGAGATTAAAGTCTTGTCCGAATTGTGGTAGAGCTGCTTAGATCTGTTCTTCGCTTGGATGCCAGGTATAGTTATTTGCATGTGATGTCTAAACGTCCCATCTTTTAACTGGCTGATTTTTTATGCACTTTCTGCACATTAATCTCTCCAGTAAAAAGAGGAACCACTGGTATTATTAGTTGAATATTGATTAGTCACTTTTAGTCAACTAAGTTCTTCAGCACACCTTGTGACTTGATTAGATGTAATATTTGTAAGACATAGTTTGGTATTTTTACTGAAGAAGGCGCTGCGGAAGTTTACGATGAGCCGTTATAAACTTTTTCTTCATTTTCTACTCTTTCTCTCTACTTTTTCACTGTAAGAGTATATTACTTTTGTCTACGTATACAACGAGCCTAAAATATTTCATGAATAAACTCCACGGCAAGACATTAAGGGCGTAAGCCAATCAAACTCGTGTTTTTTTTTCTTTATCCTCTACGTAACTGCGGCCAAACAGCAGCGATAGTCACGCCAACCGAAAGAACAAACGTGTAACTGTATTCATAGAAAAATAAAAGACGCTGGATCCGGGTCAATCGCGTGTTGACAGGTGCAAGGACGCTGGCTGCGTACAACGCCTACGCTAACAACCTGGGGAACACATATGGTGTCGCACAAGCGTCGTGAAGCATGGACCACGCGCCTTCCTATTGCCCGTAATTGAGCGCGTACTCGCGCGCAGAAAAACACGAATGGTAATAGGGGGCACGAGCTACGTCCGCAAGACTACGAGCTACATTTCAGTAATTGCGACATGCCGCTATCCGGGGAAAAACTGCTTTATCGGCCAACTTGTTTCACGACGTCCCTTTTGTGTCCTTCTTGTTCTTCATTTGTACTTCATCACTTTGAACCATTCGGATCAGTTGATTCTGTGAAGCATCACCGATTTTGAGTAGCCGTTTACACCAACCCTTAGGTACTTTTTTTTTTCGTATTTCACATTTGATATTCCGTAGTTACCAATCTTTCTCTCGCGCATATGGGAATGCCATAGTGACAGTCGTGACTGTCTTCCGCGCACGATAAATTGCGGACACGTGGAACGGACGGGGAATTCCCTTCTATATGACCTTGTATTTCTGCTTTAAATGCTCTAGGCATGCGTGCCTTGTTCGTCTCATGTTATTGCTTTATTGACAACTGTGAACGTTCACATTGCGTTTTGACCTTCTGAATGCCCAAAGAAGCTACTCAACAAGGGTTATGTTTACGTCTTGTGCGCTCACCCGTAGTAATAAAAAAGAAGGAAAATAACTATGCCGCAAGTGCGTTAAAGCACCTGAGATGTCGCGTGGTGCGGAGGCTCAGCAGAACTAGCGACCACGTTTGAAACTTGGATTGTAAACCATCTGCACAGGATCCTTGGCAGAAATTCAGCACGTGCACGGTTCACAATTATAATATTCTTTTCTCTAGCACACATGACTAACGTCGACCATGACATCTCTGCGGTAACAATTATAACCAGCAGGGAAAAATAGGTTACTTGTTGCCACCATTTATTTCTATTTTATGGTGATTTAAGGTGGATCATTTGCATTCAGATTGTGCTGAAAACAGTCAGATTCTTCGTGCGGAACCAACGGTATTAACACTTAAATATTGGTCTGCTAATATTGCACAAAACTATCGGCAGCAACAACGCCTCTAAGAAGACAGTATTCTGACAGAATGATTTGAATACGCTGAGGAGAACTCAAGGGCACCGATAATGTCTAGATATCAGCGGGATTCTCCCTCTGGGTTTCATGAAGAATGAAAAGTTTCACTTATGTGAACGATACCTCCGTCACCTTGTGTGACCCCAGCTCGCACTCGCTTGAAGCACAAGCTTAAGGAGGACAGGCAACAGGATCCACCAATGTGATGTCGTATCTCTAACGTTGCGATAGCGCTGGAATTCCAAGGTGCTCTACCGACCACTTCAAGATATCAGTAGATAGGTGCCTCTGTCGGTGTCCGTGTATTTATCTTTTCGATTATGTCTTTTTTGTCCACACAAAAGCGCGTTTTCTATTTGGCCCTACCTTGCCTTACAAGGGGTATTTTCAGGGAAATATTGATTGATATGTGAGGTTTAACGTCCCAAAACCACGATATGATATGAGAGACGCCGTAGTAGAGGGTTCCGGAAATTTCGACTACCTGTGTTTCTTAAGCAGGCACCCAAATCTGAGTGCACGGGCCTACAACATTTCCGCGTCCATCGGAAATGCAGCCGCCGCAGCCGGGATTTGATCCCGCGACGTGCGGGTCTGCAGCCGAGTACCTTAGCCACTAGACCACCGCGGCGGGGCAGTGAAGTATTCCTTAATCCTGAATTCATATTTGAACGTGATTCAACTCAGCTGCTTGGAAAAAATGCTATTGCAACATTTTCCTTGGTGTTTTGCTGATCAAGAGAAAATATTCTTTTTAGGCGCGTAAAGTGGGCAGTTCTTACCAATGAGCCCCACTTCTTGACCACATACTTTGGTGCATAGTGTGATAATAATAATAATAATAATAATAATAATAATAATAATAATAATAATAATAATAATAATAATAATAATAATAATAATAATAATAATAATAATAATAATAATAATAATAATAAAAATAATAATAATAATAATATAATATTAATAATAGTATTAATAATAATAAAAATAATAATAATAATATCTTGGTTTTAGCCAGTCAAAACTATGACGTGAATATGACAGATGACTTAGTGGAAGTATTCACCACTTAGTGTTCTTTAACCTCCACTCACATCACACAGTGCACGTGCCTGTGTGATCATTTGACCTCCATCGAAATGCGACCGGGATCGCACCCACGACCTTTTGGTCAGCAGACCAGCACCGCAACATCTACACCACTGCGCCACATAAAATGGTCGAGACTAGTGATAACTTTTGAAGGGCTGGCTCCTTCGTATAAGACCAAGGACACATACACACGCATGCACGCACACAAAGAGAGAGATAATAAAAACATAGCCTTCAAATACGTGAGTGCTTCGTATGGCGATATGTGTGAGCTCTGATTACAATGCAGAATTCTGGCTCTTTGAATCTAAGAGCATGAAGCACTCCTCTTAAGCACTCCTCTAGGAGTGCTTGATGCTCTCAGATTCAAAGAGCCAGCATTCTGCATTGTAATCGGAGCTCACACATATCGCCATATGAAGCACTCACGTATTTGAAGGCTCTTTTAATCTAAGAGCATCAAGCACTCCTC